CTCATACAGCCGCTCGGGGTACCGAGCGTGGCTTCTTGGAAGGTGAAGCACGCCTCTGCCACCCTGTCAGACATCCCACTCCTGAGCACTTACGCAAGACAGCTAGAACCATGTGTCAAAAAATAGTTCATAACAGCTTCGCTTATGATAACAACTGGAAGCAACCCAAACAACAATCAAATGGATAAAGAACTTGTGATAATGATGTACTGCTCAGCAATAACAAGGGATGAGCTCTTGATAGAAGCAGCAGCATAGATAAGTCTCATGATAATAAGCACAGTGCAGAAAGTCAGGGAAAGAAGCATGTGGCGCACGAGTCCCTGTACATAAAAATCTAGAAGACAGTAAACATGTTGTATGAGTTCGTTTTCCATTACCATAACAAAATACCTGAGGCCGGAGACTCTAGAAAAAAAGTTTATTTTGTTCACAACTCTGGAGATTTAAAGGTAGAGGGCCTGCACTGACCCAGTGGAGGGCTTCTCCGGCTGTGTCACACGGCAGGTGACACAGTGAGAGGGCACGAGAGGGAGAGGTCACACACAGAGATAAGGTTCCAGAGAGAGGGTGGGGATGAGTGGGTTTTGTTTATTTGTTTGCTTGTTTCAGTACCCGGGATCAAACTCAGAACCTTGCACTTGTGGGACAGGCACGCCACCACTGACCTAAATCCCCGGCCCAGTCTTGTTCTTTGGTAACAACCACCTCCCAGAATCCCCACCTCTGAACACATGTGACTTTAGGGGCACATTTTAAGTCAAAACCATAACAACTCAGCAGGGGCCTTCTGGACCCTTGAGCCATGCATCGGGGCATGCAGTCACCTGCGGTCCAGACCTGCTGGCTTGCTGCAGCACCAGGGTGAAAATGTGCCTGATTCACTCATCAGTGCTGGGATGATCAAAGAAGTGAATGGCTGTTTCTCCTTCGAGTTCTCTGAGTGTTAAGAACTCTATGCTAATAAGTCCATTGATTCATGGCCACTCGTTCATTGAGCAGAGAGATCTGATCTCACTCTGTAACTCCAGGCTGGGGTCACCCGCACCACTGCAGAACCCATGCTCCCCTGGAGTTTGCGGGAAAGGACCTAGTGAGAGCAACCTGGATGGGAGCGAGGCAAGGAGGAAGAGGGTGCCTGCGACCTGATGGCAGGAGGTCCCCTGGGTGGCAGGCTTCAAGGGATAGGGACCAGGTCTGTGTACTTCCCCCACTGGGCTCCGTGCCTGGGACAGACAGCACCTTGGAGACTGCACAAACTGTGCCATCTGTGCAAGTGAGGCCCAGCATCTGTGGACCAGTTGGCTCAAGAACCAGAAAGCTCTTCCTTACAAAAGGCAAAGCAACCCAAAGATTTTTGCATGCAAAAGTCTATGGTCAGGGTGACATTAGACAAGTGCATTAGGTTTCCCAAAGAAACAGAACTTGTATTTTAGAGAATTGGTGCACGTAGCTATGGGGGCTGATAGGTTTTACTTGTAATGTGGAAACTGGGGCAGAATTTCTGTTGCAGATTTAGGGTAGAATTCCTTCTCCTCCAGGGAGCCTCGGGTCTTGGCTTGTAAGGCCTGCCGGGTTGGATGGGGCCCACCTACACTATCAAGAATAATCTCTTCTACTGAAAGTCAACTGACTATCACAGTAATTCAACTAGGATTTCACCAAAATCTGGCACCAACGCCTGGTCAAGTATAAACACATAAAGTTAACCATTGTAATGAGTGAACCGTGTCAAAGCCCCTGAAGCCAAGGGTGTCATCTGCCCAGGCCCAGGTTCTGGCTGATCAGCTGCATGGTCCCCGGCCGGACCTCCATAGACCTACCAGTCTCAGTTCGGACAGCTCTGCGCAGCCCTGCATCCTGGGGTGGCTCTGGGCAGTGACGGCAGCTGTGCGTGTGGGACCCGGAGCTGGACAGATCATGTGTGAATGCTGGGCCTTGCAGGAAGAATGAACGACCTCAGAGAGTCCCGGGGGGTGAGCAGGGAGGACGTAAGGTGGTATCTAAGGAGGGGTCACAGTGCACAGGGGCAGGAGGCACAGGAAGCCAGATACCATGAGGGGAAGCAGGGGGGTGGGGGGCCACCCTGTGTCAATTGTGCCGCACCTGCAAGTTTGACCTGGTCACCTCAGAAGCAGGCAGGTACAGCCACCTCCTGGACAGCGACCTCATGAGGGCTGCCTGAGGGTTTGGGCAGGAAGGGACAGGATCCTTCCGCTGCTGTGAAGACTATGGTTCCAGGGTAAAGTCAGGAGGGCTGACAGTGGCCAGAGGGGCTCGTCAGGGGTTTCATAATCCAGGTGAGAGGTGGCACTGGCTGTGGGGATGGAACACGAAGGAAGCCACCTGACATTTAGACCTAGGACTTGGGGACTGTCAGAGGTGAAGAGGAGGTTAGAGGAAGGTGCCCTGATGTCTCTTGTCATAGACCCGTGTGGCCCTGCTGTGGGTCCAGTCTTCACCCTACCAGCACCTAGGCTCTGCTGACCCTTGACATAGTAGGGAAGCAGCATGTGTGTGCACAAGCCTGTTTCCCTGTTCATGAGTTGATGTTTACAGCTTTCATGGGATTTTCAAAGAATCTATGACGATCAGAGGGTGAGGACCGCAGTGCAGGGGTAGAAACTCGGGCCCGGGTAAGAGGCCCTGGTTGGGATGCGTGGCACGGACTCCAGCTCGGAGCTGGATCCACGTCAATCTGAAATGAAGTCTGAGCATCTTAAGGGAATTGTTCTTCCATTTGCAAAAAATTCCATTTGTCCCCAGCCTTGATGGCCTAAAGCACCCCTCGATTATTAGCACAAAAATCAAGGATGAAGTCTCCGAGCTGCAGAAGCGGGGGTGGCGGCATCCCCCGTGGAGTGAGACTTCGAGAGTCCTCAGACCTGCCTCCTCCTGGTTGCTCAGCTTCAAGCAAGGGCACACGGCTGGGTGGTGGCCAATGCTCCTGGCTCCTGGAGACCTGGAGGGAGTGGTTTCTCTGAGCTTGCCTTCCCTTGGCAGACTGTCCCCTGGGCCAGACTGCAGCTTTTGCCACTTGTTGTCATGTGTTTACTCCAGAGCTACTGACCCAACCCAGCCCGGCCCTGCCGGAGGTCAGGGAAAGTCTCTACCACCTCTGCCCTGGCCCTGCCTTCCTCCTGGACCAATGACCCAGAAGCGCGCATGTGCCCAGATGCGAGCGCCGGTGCAGGCAAATGTGGAGATGCAGCACCGTGTAGGTTGCAGCCAGCCCCATCCCATCTACGCACCTCCCCTCGGCCCCAGGAGACTCCTGGGCCACCAATCTTCCTGGCTTCTGGGTTCCAGGTGGCGGTAGCTTTAGTAGCTGCCAGCAACGGATCAGTGCTGTGAGGGAGACCAGGGCTGGCTCCCTTCCTGCCTGGCCTCGGGAGTGTGGTGGGTCCCCAATCTGCGCAAGGCCATGGCTCTCCTGATCCGCACTACTCCCACATCTCCTCTCTCGCTGGGTTCTGCTGCTGTTGCCTCTTCCCAGCCCCAGGACAAATTCATGGGACCTTGGTACCCTTCACCATGTTCCCTACCCCCTGGGGAGGGTCATCGGCCATCACTGGATCCTGAGAGACACACATAATGTTGTAGGAACTGAGAAGAACATTCAGAATCATCTCTGTGATTCTGCAGAGCATGTGCATGTTTAATTCACTCCGCTGAACAAACTTACACTATTTTAGCCCCATTTTATAGATATGGAAACTGAGGCAGGGAGGTACCGAGGGGCGGAATCAGTATTCAGGCTCTGGGCCATAGAACAAAGAGAGGAAAGTGGGAGTCTTCTCTGAAATGTGAGGGTGGGACACTCCCCATCTTCTCCAAAATGTTGGGGGATATGCCTGGGCCTCACACAGGGATCCCAATGGGTCCACACACACACACACACACACACACACACACACACACACACACACACACACACTGGAGCCAGCTCTGCCGGGTGAGATGGTGGTGCTGACCGCTGGCCCCTCTGGGACCCAGACTTCTGGTGAATCCCAATCCTTGCCCCAGCCAGGCCTGGATCAGTGCACACACTTTGGCCCTCAAGGGCTGAGTGAGATCTGCTGAGGTATGGGTTGTCTCTGGCGGAAGCGTGATCTGGGTGTCCACAGCATCACGTCATGGTTTCCCCAGTGTTCATAAGGATAAAGGAAAGTCGGTGAGCTCAGGGGTAACAAGGCAAGAGCTAAAAATACTCTCAGTAAGTAAACAAATCGGGTCAGTGATCCCAACCCCATGAGGCAGCAATTCCGGGTGCACAAAGGCCACTGTTTATGGTAGCGGTGTGATTCTGAAGAACTCTGCCCTAGATAAAGAATGGCATGTCCTGTTGGGTAAGGCAGGAAAGATGACCCACACAGAGTCATTCACCTCCATGCCCGAGTCACCTTCTGCTGCTGGGTGCCTTCTTGGAAGCCCCGTGACTCAGGCCTCGGGGGCAGCAGGATGTCAAGATGTTGCCTGCTGGGCCCATTGGCTCACAGGAAGTGATGAGGATGAGGGCCTTTGGTGAAAGTTGGTGCTTTATGATCTGTTCCAGACAGGACAAGTGGAGCCGTTATGATGTAATTGCTCTCAGGCTATCAGCAGCTCCAACTGCTCTTACAGGGAGGCCTGGGGTCTGGGGGTCTGGGTACAGGGCTGAGGGAAGTGGGGGCAAGGGTGGGAGTCTCCATCTCAGGACCTCAGCCCGAAGTAAATGCCTCATGGTTTCAGTGGGTGGGCCCTAAGTAACCTCAGAAGGAATGCTGAGACTCTCAAAGCCTTGGTTTGTATAAAGTAGGGGCCGTAACAGAGTCTGCTTCATGTCAGACTGTTGAGAACATTCCAGAAGATTCTGTAGGACGGATGCATAGCAAAAAGCCTGGTACACAGTAGGTGCTTGGTGAGGTCACTGTAACTAGTACAGCTGTTGTTCTGCTGGCCCCGGAGGCTTTAGGTTCCAGAAGGGGAAATCAGGATGGAGCACAAAATGTCCACTGTGGGCCCTGGAAGGTTCAAGGATGCCCTGTTCTCTCTCTGTTCCTCCTCATTAGGCTGTGTAATGAGCTGCAGGTACTTCCTACTGGCAATTAGGCTCCTGTCATGGGGATCCCAGCTCTCTGGGGTAGGGCTCAGGGGCTGCCCACCTCACAGAGAGGGGACCATCCAGGTGCCAGAGGGGCTGGACACCAGAGGATGGGTCCCTGACTTCCCTCAGAGCATGGCACTGGCCTCCAAAGCTGGGCCTGGTGGAGGCTTGTGGGGGAAGAAGGGAGGAGCTGCTTTCTTTGGGGCCTCTGGCAGCAGCCCATAGGAAGGCCTAGGATGGCTTCCGGCGCAGGCGGTGGGGAGCTTCAAAAGGTCTAAAGGTTTGGCTCTGAGGCCACTAAAATGTGCTGTGATTCTCCTCAGACAAGCGAGAACCTTCATCCAAAAGCAGCAGAAGGTGGAGGACAGGGAATGTCACAGCCCTTGTTGCCCAGGTGCCTGACCCAGAGTAGGCCTCACCTTGGGTATGGCAAACTTGCAGTTAGAACCAGGCCCTCAGCCCCTACCATTATTCTGACCACCCCTCCAATTCCCACTTTTTTCCCTTTTGAGATCCAGAAAAGGTATTTATCAAGGGCAAAGTATGGCGTCCCTGTAGGTGAATCTTGGGCCAGGAGCTGGCCCTGTCCCCGGCCGACCTAGGGGAAGAGGCACACTCCTTTCCCAGCGTCTCCCTGAGCGCACACAGTAGCGCTCGATTCGGCAATTAGCGAATGTCACAACCCTCCTCCCTGAGCGGGGGCTCTTTCAGATGTCAGGTTCCTGCCAAGCTCACGTTTTGTTCTGAAACCTCTTTCCGGGGGACTCGAGGGAAATTAACATCACGCCAGCCCAGAGAAAACCCTCAGAGCTTGAGAATGTCGGTTCTCCCAGGGAGGGAATTCAGTTGAGTGCTCCATCAGCAGTGAAAGGCTAATTGGTGTGGAGTGAATTATGGAAATGGTGAAGCCAGAGTCTTTGAAACTGGTCCCTGGTTGCACACCAGGTCCACTGAGGAGCTGCAGAAGCCCCAGCCTCCATCCACCTTTTGTCCTCTCTGAGGAGTCCCCTTCTCAAATGCTGGAGGTAAAGTCACAAGTAAGCTGTGTTTAGAATGGGAGAGGGGCTCGAGCCAGAGTGCAAAGCCAACATCTCTGACATCCACTAGGTGCTTCACGTGGGCCAGGTGCTTGGAGTAGATATGCTTCCTTTAGCCCTACAACTCTGTGCTTTAAATTCTATTAGTGTTCCCATTTTACAGATAAGTTCACTGAGGCCTAGCAGCGATGGGAGACTTGCTGCAGGCCACCCAACCAGGATCTGACTCCACCTCCTGTCTTGCAGCTGATCCAGACTCCTTCCTTGCAGGCCTGTGGGAGAAGTCCTACACCTCCCTTTCCCTCCCCTGTAAAGTGTCCTTCTCATTCAGTCACGCCTGAGCCCTTAGCCCTGGATGCTGAGGCTGGGAACAGCATGGAGGACAGAGTTCCTGCCTTGAAGCTGAGGATCTCACGGACTCAGGGGGCCCGGGGCAGTCGGGGTACAGCAAGGAGTCGGGGGTGGGGCTGCCAGATGCCCTAGGGTCTGGTTAGGATGCGAATGCCGGTTGGAAGGCCTGGGGCCTGAGAGCCTGTGGCCGGTGGCCTGTTGGGCTGGGAGGGTGCTCTGGTGGCTGACATCAGGGCATCTCTGCACTGGCCTGGTGGAGACCCCGGGTGGCTATGGCTTCAGGCTCTGTGTAGAGGTGGCCCAGTGTGTTCGTGGCTTGTCTCAGGGCAGGAGACCTGGCAGCCCCAGAAGTAGGTGAGCCTGGAACGAGGGAGCTGGAATGGTTGTACTTTAGGAATGAAGCAAAGAAAGCCCAGGGAGGGAGGAGGGATCTTCCCAGGGGACCCCAGGGCAGCCGGCTTGCGGTGAGGGGATGGGAAAGGAAACGGGTCAGTTGCACCCTGACCTCTCCCAGATAAGAGTGTGGCTGAGTGCCACCCAGGGCTTCCAGTGCAGTGTGGGGAATAGCTGGTGTCACAGCATCAGCCCACCTGCCTCCCTCAGGGACAGGAGTGCTGCCTGGAGAAGGGACCCCCGCCAGCCTCAAGGAGAAGGCTGCCTGTCTTCTGCTTGGCCTCTTGTCACCACAAGATGGCGCTGGTTGTGGGGTTTTTATTTCTATTTTTGCAACTGAACTGCTAGGACCCAGGTGCACCATGTGTGCTTATCAGTGTGCCTGTGTATGCGTGCGTACGTGAGTGCGTGCGTGTGTGTGTGTGTGTGTGTGTGTGTGTGTGTGTGTGTGCCTGCTTCTGTGTGGCTGTGCCCAGCGAGCATGCAGACCCACCCACGCCTGAGTGTCCTTCAGTGCATGGTGCACACATGTGTGTTTCTGCCTGTGTGCAGGTGTACTCTGAGATGTGTGCGCCTGTGCCATGGGTGTCAGAGTCACCGCCCGCATGTTTCTGCAGAGTAGGAGGCAGTGAGATCCAACTCCTGTCCTTAGCTGCCCCTCCCCTTTTTCTCAGCCTCTACTCAGAGGCCAGTGCCCAGGAGGAAGCAGTGGTAAGGCCAGGGCCTGGTGGTGCCCACAGCCCTGCGATGTCCTCCTGCCACCCTCACCACCACACAGGCATCGACTGTCTGCTTACCTCACTCTTGGCCTCACCGTGCCAAGCCCTCGGGGGCCTGGTCTTCATGGTGTCCGCTGGGGCCCCAGACTTGGGCTTGGGACTCATTAGAGCACAACGCTGCCTGGTGACTGACTGGTCAGTGCCAGGTGCCTTAGATCAGATCAGCCTGGTCCAGGTCTGTGCACCTCTGAGTTGTCACTTTGTCCTCCCCACCGTCCCCGGAGGTAGGTCCCAGGGCCATCCCATCTTATGAGGAAGAAACTAAGGCTCAGAGAGGTTAAGTGACCCACTCCACGGAGTTGATGGCCTAGGTAAACAAATTATTCCATCAGCCTGAGTATGCTTTGATGAGGAGCTGCTCTTCTGTGTTTTGCCCCACAGGGGTACAGATCCTCTGGACCCAGGCCACAGTCCTCCTGTGCCGCTTCCTCTAGGAAGCCTCCCTCTTCCCATGCTCCTGCAGCCCAGGGTCTCCATCGAGTGGTCCTGGGTGCAGGGATCATTTAAAGACCCGTGAGCAGGAATCTAAGGGCTGGGTGACTCCCTGGGTCCTTTACGGGGGCTGAAGAATCCTTTTAGGAGCTCTGGATAGGGGTTCAGGCCCTCACTGGAACGGCCCCCATTTCAGGGGCGTCACCTGCTCTGAAGCTCGGCGTGGAGCCTCAGGTGAGAGCCTGAGAAGAGCGACAGCTGCCCAGTACTACCTGGCACCGGGCCACCTCCGCAGGGTTCCACGTTCAGCCGTCCCACTGACACTTTCATGTGCCCCTTTGCAAGCCGGGCCTTGTACCGCAGAGCCCAAACGACCCTTGCCTTGGGGTCCCAGGGAGCCCTGGCTTGGATCCTGGGAGTTCCCAAGCCAGGTTGCTTGGCCAGGCTGTCTGAACATCCAGCAGGAGGAACTCTTCAGGGGCCCTGCATCCTCATAGGCTCTCACTGTCCCTCTTTTGTGTCCTGTGTCTGGGGAAAAGCGCCCCCCCCCC